AAAAAAAGCCGGCCGGCCGGGTCTGTTTAAAAGTTTCATGTTATGAAAACCAATATATTAAATTTGTGTGGCCTAACCGGGTGGGTTAAAGAAATTTTTTTATAAATTTTTATATATGAAATTTAAAAAAAAAAAAGATATTAAATTTGTGACCTTTGATTTCATTACATTGATTTGAATTTTAATAGTTCCGTAGTTCAAATTTATAACGGGAGTGGGTTGTGTTTTTAATGAATATTTTAGGTGAAGTAAATACTGACAATTGGAAAATCGTACGAAATTTTTACTAAAAAAAAAAACAAACCATTTCTTCGATGTAAAAGCTTTAGCTTTACATTAACAAATTATATTATTTAGTATGGTGCGGCATTACGGCATATAATATTTACGGCAATTAGGTGCTTTGCCGTAATTAATTCTACCATATGGTAAAATGCCGTAATGCCGTAATTCAGTATAATTCTATCGCCAACTATAACCTTAACAGATGCACTTTGCAAGAAAGTAGTATTTCAAGCCGATTAAATTTTTACGGCTAAACCGTTAAATTTTTAGCGGCTTAGCGGCTTGAGTTTGTAGTATATCAAAATTTTCCCATATACTTATTAATATTAAAAATTGTGTCCCACAACTAAAAAATTTCATGCTATATAGAAACTTTTACTAGAGATCAGAAGTTAATTGCTATAGTAAATTTTTGTTATTTACGTTTTTTTTACAATTTCTTACATTTACAATATTATGTAATTTATTGGATCCGGACCAAGAATTTTAGGGTCAAAAGTGACCTTCTGCTCGGGATTTTCTTAACATAAGGGTATCCCATATTGATAAGGCTTATATTGATTAATAGTTAATAGTTAGACGGCTAAGTGGCTAAGCGGCTGGCTAAGCAGCTGACGGCAATGTAAAATTTAAATATAAAAATGATTATACGTTATTTTCAACAATCTATTAATACTCTATCTCTTAAACACTCAAAAGACATAAAACGGGATTATGAAAGAGTTAAAGTCATAACAGATGGTCATATAGCAATAACTTCACTCACTGTCTGCCTTACGCATTCGGTGAATGTATCAACTATCATGATACTTATATTTATCCTCATTCTATTATTTCTTTTTCCTTTTTTATCGTTATTGTATTTTTAACGGATTTTTATAAGTAGATCAGTTTGTACGTAAAAAGAATTTTTTCCTTTGCAAAAAATTTGTAACAACTGATGAGCTTTTAATAAAGCGAAAGTATACTATTGTTATTTCACATAAAATAAAACTCTTTTCTACTGTATATGTCTTTTGGGCTAAGTCAATTAATAATATTACCTTCACACCAAACATGAAAGGTATATCTAAATGCTCAATACAAAGCAACATTGGTTGAGCTCAACTTTGGTGATGCGCTTTTCATTGCAGAATATAAAATGCATATACCCTCAGTCTGCACGTGAGACAAAAAGACATTTGAAAAACGCAATTGGACTTTATTAATTTACATCACTATTCATGAATATTCATTTTATGTTTTATGAGCCTGCCTTTAAAATATATACATGCACCTTCAATCACAATCCATTCTCTATGTCACTAATTACGACTTTAAATATCTTTCTGGTCAGTTAATATCTCCTGGAATTCTTCCTCTCTAATTGTTAGCATAATTTTTTTTTTTTTTTAATAGGGCTCGATAGGCCTCAGCATTTCACTAATACAAATTTTTGGTTTTTACAAAAAAAAAACCAATACGTAAAGACAGAAAGATATAAGAGCAAGAAGCAATGACAGAAGAGCAAAGAGAATGGGTAATTGAAATTGTTACCGAAACAAGTTGACAGCAACAAGAATATTTGAAATGGAGGGCTAAAAAGAAGAGGAAATGGATTAGATATCAAAGCATATGACCACTGGTCAATGGATACCAAGCAAGATGTTTGGTTTACAGCATCAACATTTGAAGTCGTATTCGAAACAATAGATAAAATGCCCAAATAGATCAAAATAATATCTGACAATGGATCCCATTATCATAATTCTGAATTAATGGCTATAGTTGGATATTGGCTGTTCTTAGAACCTGAAGAAACAAAAAACAAAGTAGTAGATTCACATTATGCAACGTTTAATGTCTTGATGCATATTACTAGATGTATATTTTTTTTAATTAGATACAATGTAATTTTGAAATACCATTTCTAGTTTCGAAATACTTCTATATAAAAATAAACCAATTTTTTTAATGTCAATTCTGATTAAGACAATGTGAACTGCGTTATCTGTTATAAAAATAAAAAGCTTGAGCTTATAAGTCTGAGAAAAATGTTCTTTATTTAGTGTGTTATAACAGATTCGTTATATTCATATCTTAACTACACCGAAGAAATAATACACAAACGTAAGGACATACCAGTACTAGTAACTATTTAATGTTATTTAATTTATATTTATTCGAACTTTAAGTTTTCCCACTCTCCATACATATATATAATAATAAAACGAAATTTAGATTCAAATGGCCTTATTTGCTACCGATTTTCAGATCAACTTTAGATTTATGGCCATAACTCAGCGTTTACCCTTCCCGTAATTAGGCGTCCAAGGCCCTAAACTATCGTTAGCATAAAAATCCATTGGATATGTAGGCTGCCAATCGACTTCGTCTAATACAACAGATGCTTCATAAGGAGTAAGTAGCGGTTTTGAAAATGCGTAGCCCCAGTCAATCGACAGACGCGGACATGCTATTTGAATCCATCTGTGATTTGATAAATGAGAATTACCAATCCTTCATGTGTATCAAATGAGTGCAAGAATAAATACATGTAACAAAACTTACGCATCAATATCCTGAAATTGCTCCAATTTGTTAGGAAATATTTCTGAAAGCAAGATACAAATATAATCTAATCCTCGAGATCGAATTTTTTCTTCGAGATACTGTTCAAATATAAATTTTGCTGCCTATTTTAGCGCCTTTTGCACTTAATATGACCAATTGGATATAGCGACGGTTTGTTTATCGTTCAGTGTATAACCATGATTTAATATGTAACAACGGCTTCAAGCCGGCGCTATCACCACATTCAATGAATCCTTATTTTTAAATACCTCCATAACTTTGGGACTACCTTGTCTGCCCAAAGTTCCTAGAATTAACCCAAATTTTTTTGCCTTTTTAGCCAAATCTATTGCATGTTTACGAAGTGCGTACATGTCTGCATGGTCATAGCGTTCTCGAGTAAACTTTTTTGAATATGGATCGTATCTATAGAAAATTGTTATAAAGATTTATTTATTGGTGCGATTAATATCTAGAAATGAATTAGAAATTCAAATTACCGAAACGATGGAATATCAGGATTAGCAATCATTATTGACTCTAAATGAAATCTTCCGTCACCCAGATATCTGAAAGAACAAAATATAAATAGCCATATTCAAAATTGTTGTAATGCAATAGCTAAATTTTCAAGCACAATATTTACATTAATGCGTCTTGCTCGCCTAATTTTGGTGACGTACATCCCAAGATTTCTCCGGGTGACAGTGGTTTCGACTGAGGCACAAATAGCGAATAATCACTTTCTAAATGTTTTTTTACTGCCTGTGTTTGCATTATTTTTACAAATAGATGTTATTTAAGATTAAATATAACCACCTCAAGTCATAATAGCTTTATTTTACCTGAATAGCTGTAACAAATTGGATTGTACCAACAATTGCCAATTTTTTCTTTGGTTCAAAGTTCTTTATTATAGTATTCAGGAAATGTTCAATATCAATTCCAATATCCACGAACACGTAAATTGTTTTAATAGTCGTTACATTCACAGGAACTATATTAGAAACATATTTACTTTAGATCTTGATTTTAAAAACAAAACGCAAATTAAATATTATTAAACAAGAGTAACCTAAGCAACTATGTCCATAATGAACCATAAAATCACATCCTAATGCATTGGCAGTGAAATCATCTACACAGCACGCGCCGTATGTAACATCACCCATAATAAGGGTTTCAACATTACAAAACCTTTATAAATATTATACCGATTTAATTAGAGAATAAACTTAATAGAATTCGGTTACGAGGTTGTGTATTTGACAATCTAACCTTTCAAGTATGTCTGCAATCGTGCAT